AATCCGTAAATATGTTTCAATTTAATTATAATTAGTCTATCATATTATATCGTATTGGAGAAAAGGGGCAAACGAGCAGGAGGCTCACCCCATGGTAAGTGATTACCGCCGCCCATGAACACCTGCAACACCCGAGGGCTCAAAAATGCGTTGCCGGCCTTTTAGGAAAGAGTACGCTCTCTTCTTGAAGGTTCCCAGGTCGTAACGGTTCGGAAAGACCGCCGGCGGCAGTTGGTTCCACAGAGTGGTTGTGCGAGGCAAGAAATGTCTTGAAATGCGCTGCTTGAATGAAACGCTGGACATCGAGGTGGTGTGGATGAAATTTTTGGTTCTGACGCGATGTCCGATGGTGGAATTCAGCCACCGGGATCAATCCAAACAATTGCTCGGAACACTCCCCGTGATAAATTCGGTAGAAGATGCGGAGTGAACCAACATCTCTACGCAGAGCCAAAGGATCAAGCCGATCGGAAAGACTTTGATCGTCGATAACCCTAGCAGCCCTACGTTCACTGCGGTCAAATGGAAGAAGCTGGTAATAGGGGGCTCCCGCCCAGAGGTGAGAATAGTACTCCATGTGGGTCTGAATTTGCGCCTTATAGAGATTTACTTATGTATGTAGTATGTAACTCTTTTGTTAATTGCACTAGATATTCGCCATTACAATTGTTTTAGGACAGTTTTGGCGACAATTAGTGACGATTTCAATCGGATCAGTTTTGATTTTTAATCTATAAGATTATTATATATAGATTATATTAAGAACATGTTCAGAATTTCAGTCAGAGCGCTAAATGATTAGTTAACAGTAACCGTTTAACGTATAACTCATTGGTTATGAGCTGGGTCGATTCCAGAGAATTCTTTAATTGAGGGAGTCGATTCCAGAGAATTCTTTAATTGAGTATTCAGATTAACTGGTAGGAACATAAAACGAGAAATTACTTCCTGCCGACTTTAACGACTTCCTTTATGGGAACAATTGTCACCAGCGTTATTTACTCTCAGATAGGACTTAAAAAATAGACACTACCTAGTCCTTACATGCACGCCACGCTTTTAATCCTTACTAATATTATAAAGGCGAAAGTTTGTATGTATGGATGAATGAATATTTATTTAGTTTCAACAACAAACACAGTTATGTTAACAATTAAAAGAATATATATCAAACACATAAAAGCAAATTTTCAGTACATACCAAAAAATAAAATTATAAATAACAAACTAGACTAAGATTAACACAAAGCGGGTACATTAATTCAAGGACAATAACACAATACCTACTGATTATAACACAAATCTGGTACATTATTCTAAAGACAGTAACACAATAACGACTAATGAAAACTAACATCTATAAGTAATGTACACTGTATATAAAATGCATAAATGGATGTTTGATACTCTTTCACGTAATTACTACTGAATGGATTTTAATGAAACTTTACAATAATATAGCTTATACATCAGAATAAGACATAGGCCATCTGTCTTTCTGTCTGAATTTTACGCCTTCAGCCTATTCTACGCATGCGTAGTCGCGGGAAGCAGCTAGTAGGTCATATGAATATAGGGAACTAATGGCTTAATACGCAGTAAGGTAAAACCCACTGTGGGACAACCACATCAGCCCTGACCGCGTTAGGGTATAGTCCTACACGATCCCACTGCGAATTGATGTATTTCACAAATATTCAAAACATTTTTCTTTACCATCTCTAAAATATGCAGGTTGCCTCATAATGTTTTCCTTCACCGTTGAATACGTAATAAGTAAGCACTTAAGATTGCAATTAAAAATTTAATGGGTGCCGGCACTGGAATTTGAACTCAGGTTGCTCGAGTACATTACATTAAAAGCGGGTGCCCAGTCAGTAAAATTTGGTAGAATTGTATTATATTTTTTTTTATTATTTAATTAGGATCGCAAACTGAACATTACACTCACATTACAGAATAATGGAACTTAACACACAAGTGAATGTTTTTCTATGAGCGAACACAACATGCACAAAAAATACTCTCAACAATTAATAATTGTACAATGAAATAAAAAAAAAAACTTTTCAAACAAAATAAAAGAGGAAAAACAAAAGAAATTAAAACATTTAAACTTAACTTTCAATTACAACTAATACAAAACTATTGAATTATTGACACATATATATATATATATATATATATATATATATATATATATGTGTAAATAATTGTAGATACATGAACTAAAACTTTAGGCGCAGCGAGATTCGAACCTTTGTCTTCTGGTTTCGCGACCAGACGCATATACATGTATAGGTAAAAAAACTAATATTTCAACACGATCGAACATCAAAAACCTAAATCTATTTAACAACTTAAACCTGTAAATAAAATTACGTTTACATTTGACCTCTAATAAAATATAAACACTTCAAAAGAAAACAGAGAGCAAATGGAACTAAGACTAAGATTTTTTGTACAGTACAGACGTTCCTAGACGAGAATGAGCAAAGGCATGTTTTACTACTGCACTATTCAACAAAAGCTTGTCGCAAACTTGCAAGATAATGACTTCCATCCACGTTGCGACGCGTCATATGTTAACAATTAGACAAGACAGCATTAGTTCCGTCAGAATGTCTCTTGTAAGTTTTATTTTTTTAACTACAATCCAGAACGAAAACAGATTAAGAATCATTACGACTATAGACAAAGAATATTTCGAAGATATGTGAAGTCCGCATGGTTATACAACCTCGCCCTGAAATTCGCCACGTTCGCAAGGATAAAATTATCTATTTCCTTATGAATCTATAACACGAGTAAAACATTTTCTTATAATATTTTATCTTTCAAGAGCTTCCTCTTATGATTTTATATAAACTTAAATCAATAATATCTTAATATAAATACTCGTTTAACTATCTTAGTCTTGCCTTAAATAGGAATTTTTTTTATGTAAAGCTTCGAAATAACTTTTTTTTTTTTATGTAAGAAGGTTGCCACCTTCGCGAGTTTGCGATTCACCTGATGTTAAGTTATAAGCGCCCCCCATTGACATTTGCAACACCCGTAGCGTTGCAGATACGTTGCCACCTTATAATAAAGTAAGGCCGGGTACCTCACTCACCAGATGAAACGCTGATTCGTGGTACTTAGCCGGATGGGCCTGCCCATTCATGCAACTGGTGAGTTAATAACAGCTTTGTCTTTGCAGAACTACGTCTATCACAGCAGTAAGCTCAACCATCCATCCATCCATCTACGCAGCGTCACAAAACTTTTACTAACGTTTTTAACTTCACCTGGTGACGTAACCCCAAGTCCGCCCTCAAATACGTTGCAATATCTTTGGAATGGCGTTTGTCCATAGTGAATATAACTTACCATCGTGATGCTAGTTAGCCGCGTTTTTATATAATTGAAATAATCCTTCTTCTTACTACTTTAAAATAATCAATTATTCATTATTCATGCACATAAGTACAATCTTGCTAAATACAAAGTATTGCTTTCGGATTCCAAAAATGTTCAATTTAACACTTTGATAGTGTTAGTTAGTGTTACATCGGGTATTTTTAAAAGAACAAAGCAGAGCTGAGTGTCCAAGTACTTTGTAGGTTCAACGTCACGCCGATGTCTATCGTATTGCGATAAAAGTGCTCGTGAATCCGAAACTATCCGTAACGAATTGCTGTAGAACTAACTGACAAAGCAGCGGGGACACCGTTCGTGCAATAGAAAAATGAATTCACCGTCGGCTTTTTCGTGTTTTAAACGCACAGAATGTTGAACGATAATCTACAAAAGCCCCTCGCTTCGCAACTCCACTAATTGCACCGATCCCTTGTTCCATATTGTCACTCGACTGTCCGTCAATTTGATTGAGAGCTCGCACTCTAGCAAAGTGTCGAACACTTGTAGCAGTGGTCGGAATACTACTCGGCGTCTCAATCTACTACTATTATCTGTTCTCAAATACAATACACAATAAACAAAAGAGTATATATGCGTCTGTGTGTCCTCCACATGGTAGTGTGTGTAATATTTTCTGTATTGATTTAATCTTGTCCTTTGAACGAGCAATTCTTATATATGGTACTACGACGGTAAATTTCACCGAAAAAAAAATATGTTATAATAGCTCGGTCGGCAATCGGGCGGCCGCTAACAAACAGCCACGAAACAGAAGGCCGTAGTTCTTATCACGATCATTTACACACTTATTTTTTTACTTTTTTTTTGGATTCCAGATCATTGCTTTCTTTATCTGTTATTTTTTGTCGATTTGTTATTTTGTTATTTTTTTCCCTTTTTTTTTTAAAGTTCTTTCTTTTGTGAAAAACACCGGTTCATATTTTCTTTTTATTACGTCGGTAAGATCGAAACATATTATGCATATTTCATTACTTAGTGTAATATATGTATTGTTCTTGTCGGTAGAAGATTATAATGTTTTCGGCATGTACCCTCGTCTAATGAATCAGTCAATAAATGGCGGTTGTACTATTCAACGCGTTTTAATATCTGCTCCCGAATCCTTCAAATAGTGAAGGACATTACAGTGGCGACGAGTTTATTTTTGTTAATAATTGATTAATTAAAAGTTAAATTCACGCGTCAAAATGTCAATATTCGGCAGTGTGTCCGTCTTCGATTGCAAAACAGACGAATGGATTGTACACGTAGCGCAGCTAAATAATTTCTTCGGGCAAATGAAATTAATGAAATTACCGATCCACATGGAACGAAAAGACGAGCAATTTTATTGAATGGCATGTCTCAGGACTCCTATCGTCTGACACGCGATTTATTGCATCCAGATGCGCCTGAGTCAACGGATTATAATGTTATTATTTCTACGCTTAATGGTCATTTCGATCCCAGGAAATGCGTATACGCAGAAAGGCAGAAATGTTTATGCAGCTGCAAAGGAACCTCAAGAGTCAATAACTGAGTTTGTCGCTCGTCTTCGTGGTTTAGCGTCGGAATGTTATTTTGGGTCGTCACTAGAAATGTGCTTAACGGACCGTTTTGTACTGGGTATTGACTCAGCTTCAGTTCGTGAGAAGTTGTTTAGAGAAGACCAGCTCAAACTGACCCGAGCTGTAGATCTAGCGCGCGCTGTGGAGAGTGCGCAGCGTATTGTATCTGCTGGTGAATCGGTACCGGTGACCAAAACGGAGTCATTACTTTATACGGAGTCCCGTCGTAGAGGCAGTACGCGCACCGGTCGCAGCGCTGGTGGCAGCGCCGGTGGCAGCGCCGGTGGCGGTGGCAGCTCAAGATGTGGCGTTTGTGGCGCGAGGTCACACGACGCCGAAGCATGTGGTTACCGTCAAGGGGGGCATTTAAAAAGAATGTGTTTAAATAAAAATGTAGCTAACAGGCCTACGGCGACAAGGAGCGCGGTTTTTAGAAAAAATGGTAGTCCACGGAACAATTATATTTTTGAATGTATTGACAGTGACGATTGTAGTGAATTGCTACAGGTTAATGACACTAGATATGACTCTTCTACTGTTAATAATATTTTGTGTAAGGATGAAAACCCGCTGGCTCTGGAGGTGAGTGTGCGGGGTGTTGCACTCATTATGGAGGTCGATTCTGGAAGTGGGGTGTCGGCACTGCCCGGACACCTGTGGCGTATGTATTTTTCTCGGTACACGTCGCTCGGTAAGTCAAATAAAACTTTACGTACATATAATGGATCAGTCTTGAGTCTGCTCGGAGTTTGTAAGTTACCAGTGACGTATAATAATGAAACACACGATATTCATTTTTATGTTGTAGATAATGGTCCCGTTCCCTTTTTTTTTTATCTTTATTTGATGGAGGGGGACAGTTCACAATTGAAGACGTAACCCCCATAATAACAACCAAATACAATATTAAATAACACGATAATATTAAACAATAGCATAATCAACAAGCATTTACGCGGTTCTTTATTCCTGCTTGTGTCAGCCGGTACAGTAATTTGGCTTCCGCTGAAAGAGGGAGAGACAAAACACTGTTACACCAGCCAACATTAAATGCAGCAGAAATATTTTGAGACAGAAATATCTGTCTCCTATACGGCTCATTTCGTACACACTCCATCAAAATATGGTAGACATCTTTAACCACACCGCATTCGGAGCAATTGGGGGAATCTGATTTTCCCATCATAAATGTGAATTTATTCAATGGGATATGTCCTGAGCGCAATCTGAAACTCGTCGTAATGTCATGTCTTCCCACATCACTTCTATCAAACCATGGCATCCGAGGTAAGGTTGGTTGTATGGTTTTATACCATATACCTTTCGTGAGGGATCTTTTATCAAAGTACTCGGACCATAATTGAGAGCAACGCTTCTTAACATTCCCCAACAGGTTTGTGTAGAAAGGTAAAATATTAATACTAACACCATCAACCGAGGCCTCTTTAGCCAGCCTATCAACTGCAACATTTCCTGTAATACCAATGTGGGAAGGTATCCATTGGACTATCACCCTGCTATTAACATTTAATTTGTGTAAAGAGTTTAATATATCATGTGCTAATGGAATGCCTCTAATCATGTATGTACATCGATCCAAATGTTGTAAAGCACTTTTAGAGTCAGTGAATATGACAAATTTGTCGACAGTTCTAATTGAACTGATATAAGATAGTGCCTCTGAAATGGCAATAAGTTCTGTGAACATGATCGAAATAGAATTATTTATGCTAAATTTCATATAATTATTTGTTTGTACGTCTAAAAAAGCTGCACCCGTTCCTTCGCTATCTTTGGAACCATCAGTATATAATTTATAGTAGTCTGAATATTTAGTGTTCAGAAGTTCGTTACATAATAAAAGTAAATGTTGAGAGTTGAATTGACGTTTAGGCCTATCTATATTTTTGACATAAAATTTCAAAGAAACTGATGTATCAATGTTACTCATCCTGGTAGGTAAACTAAACATTTCAAGTTGTCTACTTGAATGCATGGATATTAATTTAAAATTCTCGAAGGTTGTTACTAATAAAGGCTTTTTCTTAGATCTCCAGTACATATTATGGCATATTTCAGACAGTTTTTCTATTATAAGTATTAAATTATTATTGATTAAGGATTTAGATTTTAAGAAAAATTTACCAGCTAAAAATGTACGTCTCACAAACAAGGGCTGTAAATATAATTCTGATTCCATCACGTGTACCGGAGTACTTTTAATAAATCCACCCACAATGCGCATGAATTGATTTTGCACTTTATCTAATTTAACACAGTGGCTAGTACAACTAGTGTCATAAAGAAAGCTAGCATAATCAATACGACTCCGTATAAGAGATATGTATAGTCTCCTTAGTTGACATGGATGTATACCCCATTCCGCGCCTGTCAATAATTTAAATACATTAATGAACTGTAAAGATTTCATTATTTATTTCATTTATATGTTTTGCGAATCTTAAATTACTATCTAACCAAACGCCTAAATATTTAACAACAGGTACACACGGTAATCTTACTTCATTTACAAATAAATTTACTTCGTATTTCGCATAATTAGTCTTAAAAATACAGACCTGACTTTTATTTGGTGAAATTTCTAAACCAAGATTGTTAAGTAGTTTATTTAAAGTATTTAATGAGTTTTGCAACCGGACTGAACCGACAGCTATAGACTCACAAGTACAGTATAACACGAAATCGTCAGCATATTGTGATATAAAAAGATCTTTTTCAATTTTCTTGCAAATACTCATAGTTGCCACATTAAATAATAAAGGCGAAAGGGGATCACCTTGTGCTAGACCACGGCCAGTCATTCTAGATATATACCCTTTTTCAGTTTTAATTTTGAGATGTCTTTCCCTCAAAAAGTTCCATAAATATAGACATATTTTAGATCCTACTTTTAAATTATGTAGAATTGAAAGGAGCATTTTAATATGAATATTATTATAAGCATTGTCAATATCAATAAAACAACCGATGGTCAGTGATCTACCAGAAAACCCAGTTTGAATACGTGAAACTAAACAACTTAAACCATCTAGACAACCTCTTGTTTTCCTAAAACCCACCGTATTATTAGAAAACATATGATATTTCTCTAAAAACCAGTCCAGTCGCTTGTTAATTATCGAGTGGAAAATTTTGCATAGACAAGACAATAAAGAAATCGGTCTTAGTGATGAGGTATGAATGGGGTCTCTGCCTGGCTTAGGGATAGCAATAATATTAATATTTCGCCACTGTATAGGGACAAAACTTAGGAAAAAAAAAACAATGAAAAGATCAAGCAAGATAATTTTACCATTATAAGGTAGATTTTTTACCATTGAATAGGAAATATCATCACATCCAGGAGATGTATCCTTCGATTTGATACATTTATCAAGCTCTTGTATGGAGATTTTCATTTCAAGACATGGGTTGCCTGTAGAAAATATTGGTTGCTTAGGTGTAACATAATCCGGAGTAAGACTTAAAAGAAGGTTTTTCCGCTCTGATACTGTCTACGAATGTAGGTGGAGACCTGTACCCCTTAATCCACTTCATTTTACGCCACAAATCAGTAGATGTCGTTGTTCCATCTACTGTAGAACAAAATCGCATCCATTCTTTATGCTTTGCTTGACGTATTAACTTTTGAGCCGTTCTCACTTTTTCTTGTAAAATGTCAAAGTTACTGGGAGTTGGATTCCGACGAAAGTTAGACAAAGCTAATCTTCTGGTTGCAACTGCCTTAGAAAGTACAGGACTCCAAAAGGGTTTAGGGACAAATTTTGAAATTGGATGTTGGGGAATTTTAATAAAGGGCACATGAACATCTGCAGCTAAATTAATACAGTCAATAAACATATCGTAAGCTCTTTGAGGTTCTTGCGGAAGTTGAAATGTGGAGAACATTTCTTCGAGGCATGTTTTGTAAGAGTCCCAATCTCCATTTTTATAATTTCTTTTACCAACTATGTTATAACTAAAGTAGCATTCAGTAGAAAGACGTATTATCATATGATCGCTCCCTAAAGTTTCATTCATTACACACCAGTTGAATTTTATTCCAATATCTGAAGCAACCAAAGACAAGTCAGGTGCGGATGCTTGCACAACGCCATTTACTAATTTAAGTCTAGTATTATTGCCATTATTAAGAACAATGAAACTACTGTCAATGAGTGCATTTAAAATTTGTGTCCCTCTATAATCAGTCTTGTAGGACCAATTTGTATGATGGGCATTGAAGTCGCCTACTATCACGGTATTTTTATTAAATGCTGAAAAAAGGAAGTCCCAATCTGCTTGACAAGTTCGAACTGAAGGGGGACAGTATACAGCTACTAAATGTTCTAAAAGGGGATAGTTATAAATTTTTAAGCAGATAATTTCAATGCCTGTGTTTGTCATCTGGAGATCACTGAGTTGTGCTTTCACGGACTTATGTACTAAGATAGCGACTCCCCCATATGAGTCAGCTCTGTCTTGTCGGAATATATTAAAATTACTAACTTTGAGAGGACTACCGGGTTCTAACCATGTTTCTGAGATAGTTACAAAATGGACTTTCTCTTGTGTTAACAATGGTGTCAAAGATAATAACTTAGGCCTAAGGCTTTGGGCATTCCATTGCATAAGATTTACTTTAATATGTTTTTTACCTTGGTCCATTCAATAAACTTATACATAATTGCAGCCACGGTGATTCTGTCATACCCATATATGATGCAACCCATTCAATACACAAGATAATAATGTTTTTTTACCTTATGAAATAACGTACATTCTTGAAGATAAATGACTTCTTTAAGGCGTGTTAGTAAATCACTAAAAGTAAAGTTTGAGTTACATTCTCTTTCATTTTGACTACGGGTGGGTGTATTATTAACCTTATTATGACGTATATTATCATAATCTTCCCTCAAACTTTCATTCCAATCCATAGACTTGTGAACTTGAGCCTTTGCTCGTTTTTTAACTATACTTTTCTTCTTCAAAATATTACGCGTTTCTTGACAAACAGAAGAATATGAAGGCTGTTCTGAGTGCTCTTGACAGTTTTCGGGAGATTCTATCGAAGAAATGTTGTTTTTTCTTTAGTGTTCCGGATTGTTTCTTGAATTGGCTCATGACATTGTTCTGAGCTTTAAAGGATTTGTCAGAGTTAGAAGGTTCGACATATACAGTCAACGCCTTTTTGTAAGTACAGTTGAATTCTGCCATAATTTCACGAATACGTTTTTCTTTTAAATATGTAGGACACGTTTTTAACTAAAGCCATATGACTTCCCAAACAATTCACGCATTTAAAACGTCGTAGTTTCACAGTTTGCATGGTGACCACCACATTTAGGGCATATTATACTATTAGATGGACAAGTCTTTATGGTATGACCTATTCGCCAGCATCGTGAACATTGTGAAACCGGAAAAATAAAAGGATCTACTCTAATCTTCATATTATCTACATATACGTAAGCAGGCAAAGAGCTACCTTTAAAGCATAATCTTACGGCCTCACAAGGTATCCACCCTTCTTCACCACCAACCCGACGATTACGTCGCTTCACATAGATGAGTTCCGCTGAACCTGGGCATGTTATACTTCGTAAAATATCCGCCTCTGTCAATTCCAGTTCGACGTCCTTTATAACACCATATGAGAAATTTACTTCGTAGTCCTTATTAAACCTCCATCCTTTATTAATAAGTTCTTCACATGAGCAAAGTTTGTTTAAATTAACTTCGTCCTCAAATTGCAATCGGATTTTATATTGATTAAGATATTTTACTCGGATTATTTTTTTAATATTAAGCGACTTTAAAATTTTAGCTAAAGCAAATGACTTGGGTAGTTTCTCTTTGCTTGTTATAGTAATCTTCAAATCACTTTGTACACTATCCTCAATAATATTGTCTCTTCTCATTTTTCTGCCCTTACTAGTACCAACAGTTGTCCATTCTTCATCCGATTCTCTTATTTCTCTATTCCTTTTTCTATTTATGTCTTGAGCACACTCCTCCATTTCTAATTCATTTATGTTATTCATTTCATTCGTACATTCATTTTCATATTCATATTGGTTACTATCCATTAAATCGAATAAACAAATCACGCGTCTGCGCACACCTGGCGCATGTGGCCGGCCGGCCGAGGGACCGCCGCTGCCGTGAGAACAATAGGCTTCCGAGAATCGTATTTAATTTGTTTATCAGCTATGAACGCAAACGACGCGACCTATTCGCACGTGTGTCGTTACGAAATTGTCCCGTTCCCTTGCTAGGCAGGGACTTCATGTCAAAATTTAATTTAATTTTGCCCTGATTTCGCTAAATTATTGCTCGTTAGGAAAACGAGAATCAATTTTAGACAAATATAAAAGTTTGTTTTCGGGTAACCTCGGCACGTTTAATAAATATAAAATAACATTACATTTAAAAGATGGTGTTACGCCAAAATTTTTTAAAGCTCGGTCTGTGCCATTTGCACTTAGAGATAAGGGTGGAGAAGAGTTGGACCGTTTAGTGCGCGTTGGAATACTCAAACCGGTTTCTTATTCGAAATACGCGTCACCGATCGTTGCTGTGCTTAAGAAAAATAATGACGTACGTATTTGCGGCGATTATTCAAAGAATATTAACGAAGCATTAATCGTAGACTCTTATCCGTTACCGAAAATTAGTGAATTATGTGTATCCTTACACGGTTGCAAATATTTTAGTAAGCTCGATTTATCAAGTAGCTATAATCAGTTTCCACTGGATGAAGCGTCACAAGAGTATACGTGCATAAATACGCATAAGGGTTTGTTTGTTTACACGAGATTGGTCTTCGGTTTGGCGTGTTCGCCAGCTTTGTTCCAGCGTGCTATGGTGCAACTTCTGCAAGGTATAGAGGGTGTGGTGTGTTTTCTTGACGATGTGTTAATCGCCGCTCCCACTCCCGAATTACATTGGAAACGTGTCGATTCTGTATTAAGCAGGTTTCGTGATGCTGGTCTAATGTAACAGCGATCCAAATGTTCTTTTTTTCAAAATAGAATAGAGTACTTAGGCTTTGTTATTGACCACTCTGGTATTCATACAAATCCCGATTAAGTGGAAGCTATTTCAAAAGTAAATATCCCAGAGAACGTTAAGCAGTTAAAATCGTTTTTAGGATTAGTTAACTTTTATCGTAATTTTATACCGCAAGCGGCGGTTATTCTTGAGCCACTACATAAATTATTAAGGAAAGATGTGCCTTGGACTTGGGGTGCGGAACATCAAAAATCATTCGATGCAAACAAGAGCGAGTTGAGCTCGAGTCGCGTATTGGCACACTTTGACCCGAGCCAGCAACTGGTGCTAACGGTGGACGCGGCGCCCGGCGGGCTGGGCGCGGTGCTCGCCGTGCGCTACAGCACGGGTGCTGAGCGACCCATCAGCTACGCTTCTCGTGCACTCAGTAAAAGTGAGCGAGCTTATAGTCAAATTATGAAGGAAGCGACTGCTATTATTTATGGTATCAAAAAGTTTCATCAATATCTGTATGGTCGAAAGCAACCATTCATATTGAGGACAGACCATAAACCCCTCTTATCTATTTTTTCACCTGATAAGGGGGTTCCTCAGATGACGGAAGCAAGGCTGCAACGTTATGCTTTGTTCCTTTCGGCTTATAATTATAAGATAGAATTTATAAATAGTGAGGGAAATGTGGCAGACTATTTGAGTCGTTTTCCTATCGATTGTGATTCGTCTCGAGATACGGCAATCTCAGAATTTTCGATTCCGAGTTATGTGAACGCGCTAGCTGCGGCGGGCGCGCCACTGCCCGCGTCGTTAAATGACTTGCGCGATGCTTTCAAACAAGATAAAATCCTGTCACTTGTTGTACACCATGTTACTCATTCGTGGCCCCGGAAGGTTCCACCGGAACTGCTGCCATATTATCGATGCCAACATGAATTATATATTTATAATAACATTTTAATGAGGGGTCATCGAATAGTGGTGCCATCAATTTTTAGGAAGGCGGTGTTGCAAGAACTGCATGCCGCACACTTGGGTATTAGTAAAATGAAGATGTTAGCTAGAGAACGCTGTTGGTACCCGGGTATCGATCACGACATAGAAGTATTGGTTTCTAATTGTGACCGATGTGTATCCTTCCGGACTAACCCCACGAGAGCATGCCTTGAACCCTGGGAATGGCCCAGGTCGGTTTTTGAAAGAATACATTTGGATTATCTCGGCCCCTTTCGTGGAAAAATGTTTTTAGTGGTGATTGATGCTCACAGTAAATGGATCGAATGCGAATTAATGTTAAATTTCTTAACGAAAGATCTTATCATTAAATTAAAGAAACTTTTTTCTCGTTTTGGTTTGCCCAATACTATTGTTACAGATAATGCTAAAACTTTCGTTTCGTCTGAATTTTCGAAGTACTGTACTGATAACGGCATAACTCACATTTTGTCTCCCGCGTATTCGCCACAAAGTAATGGACTCGCCGAGAACGCGGTTAAGATTTGTAAGCGTTTTATCATTAACGCCATCAAAGATAGCGGCTTAAAGGATTTTGTAAGTCAATTAGATAACTATCTGTTTCATTACCGGAATACACCGCACTGCACTACGGGTGTGTCTCCTGCGTCACTCATGTTCGGTCGTAGTTTACGCTGTAAACTAGATTTATTTGGTAATAAGTATATAAGCAAAAGCACGAGTACTATTGAATCAAAACCGACAAAAATATTGGTTTGGTGGCAAAATAAAATCGTTTACGTTACGAGACAGAGTTTGGGTGAGGGACTATCGATTTAACGCGAAAAGACCACGATGGATCCTAGGCCAGGTCATTGCGCGAGTTGGTAAAGTAATGTATGATGTGGCTATACTAGGTACCGATATTGTTTGGAGGCGTCACGCGAATCAATTAATTTCAGCCAATTCTTATAAAGGTAATAATTGTACTGGAGCATGGACGTTTGAGGACGTGAGTACCGAGGATAATCCTTGTTTATCTACTTCAGGCTCGGTAACACAGCTTACAGGCCGGTTACCCCCAGGAACTACGCCTAACACTCCCACTGTGAACCAGACCTTGCGCAGTAGTAGTGAAGCCTCCGAGTGGGCTGAGTCAGAAGACTCGTTCGGTACGCCGTCAAATGCAACCTATTCCTGACGAGCCAGGTATTCGCACTCGATCTGGTCGCTTGGTAGAACCACCTAAACGATTAATTTTGTAACTTTTTGTTTTTGTTATTTTTTTGTTTTGATTACTGTTATGTATTAGGATAATTAGTTTTTATTTTTTTTGTATTATTTGTCTATGTTGTGGAGGAAGAAGTATTATTGAGAAAAATAATGTGACAAACAAATGTTGTGAATTCTCTAGTTTACAATATTTCTCGAAATTCAATGCTATGTGTATAATTATACATTGTACGCTGGTACCTCGCATAGTCTATCCTGTATTGATATGTCTTGTTGTCAAATCTTCCACAAGTTGTATTTTTATATTATACTCATACCACCTGTGTTGTCAATTAAAGCGGGGAGGGATGTAATATATGTATTGTTCTTGTCGGTAGAAGATTATAATGTTTTCGGCATGTACCCTCGTCTAATGAATCAGTCAATAAATGGCGGTTGTACTATTCAACGCGTTTTAATATCTGCTCCCGAATCCCTCAAATAGTGAAGGACATTACACTTAGTAATTTGTATCTAAATATAATTTCCAAAATACACGATTTACCAAAAAAAAACCTCCAGGTAGGTCCTCCAGGTACTGTATTTTATATGCATATTTCATAAAAAATACTATCATTCGAAGGGGGTTTACGAATCGTACATTCTGATTTAAGAGAAATTTTTGCACTCCAAAAAACAGAGGCTTCAATGGGCCCTTGTATGAAATAATATAAGGACTACAACCTATACAGCTGGCGCGCTGAGCTTGGTGTACGAAGACAAGTTAACAACAGTTAAAATTTTCGTTTATCATATATAGCACTTTAATATGATATAAAAAAATACCTGATTACAGTAATAAAATAAAAATGTTATAAGTGTTAATATCCGTTGAACTTTTCAATCCGCCCTATGTGTGTTTTATAGTAAGCTACTTAGAATTTGCAAGTGCTAGTTAGATGTGAATAGGTGTTACCTCACGCTTCATCACGTGTTTACTTTGTATAATTCGACCGGAATTGATGGTGACGAAAAGCCATCGCATTCAACATTAATTGAGCTACAAACACATTGATCGGCGAATATCGCTTCACTCGGTCTTTACATAATTATATGTAAAGACCGAGTTTTCTTCGCAATATCGATCTTCCTTTGAATGGAACGAAGACTAGAGAATTTGTCTCAAAATTTTAAACCAATATAACTAGTGACCCGCCCCGGCTTCGCACGGGTGCAATGTATTATACATATAAATCATCTTCTTGAATCACTCTATCTAGTAAAAAAAAACTGCATCAATATCCGTTGCGTAATTTTAAAGATATAAGCATGCATAGGGACGGGAGGACAGCGGTACGATTTTGTTTTATATTATGCACTGAAGCTGTATGCGGTATTGACCTAACACGATTGGAATTTAAAAATTCAATTACAATTTATTTAGTGAGTTTAGAAATCAATCTGGGAAGGCTTATGGTGTCGGTCCATAGCTGAGCTTTAAATGAAAGCACCGTGTTATAATGTCATCACCACTTCAAAAAACCCCTACAATGCTAATCAAAAATACATTTCTAAGTTTTGCCAAAAAACTTCTTAGATAATTAAAACATACTGCGAACACATAAAAGAATCTAAAAAATATACACATCTATTTAAATACAAACATGATGTTATGTTACCTCGCTTCAGAGAAATACAAACATGATGTTATGTTACCTCGCTTCAGAGCAGTTTGCAGCCGGAATTAGCAATGGCAAACATGACACTTACGTACTCAACTTAATGCAGAAGACTTGTTAAAGTCAAAATACTGCACAAATATTTAGATTCTCGTTTTATATAGCTCAATATACACCAGGATTACGAATGGAAATTCAAATTTAGTTTTTAATATATTTAGCTTTATTACGATTTTAAAAATTAGTCTAAATCAGCGTTTGTAGACAATGCTGGAAATGTTTGTATGTTAGAAGGTGGCAAGGGACCTAGCGATTCACCCGAAGTCATAATAACCGCAGCCCATTGACATTTGCTCGTAGGGTTGCAGATGCCACCTCGTAACCGTACAGATCTGCCTAATGAAAGAAAGCTTGAGTAAAAAATATCTAGTCTCCAAATAAAGGACATTACAAAGAAGCGTGTCTGCTTTACTGAATGAGTTCGAATGGTCTCTAATTATTTTCCTTAACAGTATTTTTTCCGGCCCAATGGTACATAGAAGGCGACTTTATGGCTCCCTTCGATACTTTATGCCACACAAATTACGTTTCACGCAGTCTGTTATGAGGTTGTTTTTCCTAGGAATACATTGAAATTTAAACACTGGTTAAATGGTTAATTTGAGACTCACTAAGCTTTTTAGTAACGTCAAATAAACAATTACATACATGTTATACATAAAAGGGTATCAATTGTATTTTAGCATAATCATGTACACCTTAGTCCAGTAGTGGTACGGAACTTTATTGATTCCGAACTGCCCATTAATCAATTCGCATTGCATACCACAAATGTTAATTATAACGCGTCATGTCGCGTGTATTTATCGCATCTCGACAGTAAATGGCTTTGTCACCCTCATCACTGTTGCACGCGCTCTAATTTAAATTCAATTAACACGCATTAAATTGCATTTGGTGATTATGGTGATATGGATTTAATTATTTTTATAAGAATTAAAGTTAATGGATTGAGGCTTGATGACTTCATGAAGAGTCCACTTTGGTGTTAGAGTTGGCAGCGCCTTTGCGTTCCCTCAGGAGTTGTAGGTGTACTACCGGCTCACTAGCCAACTTTTCATGTAAAAAACAAAGATTTCAATCAATTAATGATCGAGAATCAGGAGAAATCCCTGATTCTCGATCATTAATTCAGTCCTCTTTGTAATGACATTAGCTAATTTAAAAAAAAAAGCTCATACATTCATTAACTCAATTAAGTTTGCATTCCTAGTTTTGCTGTGATTTTGTCTTTAAAGTGACTGGCAATGAACATGTTTCTGTGGAAAGGGTATAAGATATGTAGGACAGTAGTTTTCTAAGATAACAAAATTCCAAAAGGAAATATTCCCATCGGGAAATTTTAAACTAAATATCATAATAAATGGGGAGCTACCCATCATGAATATCTTTCATACAACATTTAACGATGAATATACAACGGATATGAATGAATCACAAATTAACTGAATAAGATTTAAATTAAGTTTGTTATACGAAAAAAAGTAACGACAAATGACAGAAGTGTATTAGATTTTATACGAGTACAAGTATAGCTTTTACTAATACAACTATTTATGAGAATAGCTTCAATCGATTATAATTTGAAGCCCTGAATGAGGATTATTTCATCATGGCGAAACCGTAATATTGCTACGAATTAAGAAAAATTAATTGAACAAAGCGTTTAAAACGAACAAATGAATGGAGCCGTAGAATGCAGAGCATCTTTTCCGCTTCCCGTTCATAATGAGTGGCTCTCGTGTTGGGAAGGACTGGTCACTGGACTTCAAAACTAACAAATATTAATAATCGTATCATGGCAGTGGGGAAACTATTTAATGCAGTTTTGCTTCCAAATTAAGACATTTGTGAAATTAGGATGAAACTAACACTAAATTGGCTCCGTTCTTGCTGACGGTGCAAAATTTTTCCCGATCTCGTTTTAAGTGACCAAGTTTTGCTTCAAGCTTTTAAAAAATGTATTTTCTTGAAACTTTCTCCCGACCACTTAAAAGTAATGTGTGAAAATCGTTCGATCGTATATCGTATTCCTTTGTTTCTTAATAATTCGGTCAGTCGATGTACCCTCGTGTAATTCATAATAGACGCAGTGGCCCGTAAGATTATTTTCGGGATTAGAAAAAGAATTTTAAGGTTTTTTAAGCAAACTAGAAAGGAGATAAATCAAGACTTAGAAGTGCTTCAAACAACATATACTCGTAACTTAAGTCCAATTTTCCGTTATTTCTTATACATGCCTTAGGTCTCCATTACTATAAACGGGATTCATATTTCTTGCACCGAAATTCGACTCTGTAAGCTTTAATATAATAATAGTATTAGAGAATAGAGCTATCGCTAGCAAAACATGGTTAAAATATAATTTTTTATCAAATTCAAATGTTTAATGCTGTTCCATCACTTAAGAGTAGTAAATTGGACGAAAAATTTGCTACGAAGATTTGTTCAAATTTTTAAAGGTCAATCAATTCTATGTACGCTTTTCATACTATTTCTATCCTTCCAAGTGCCGGGCTAACCCACTTTTGTGGCATTTGTTCGTCGAACCCTATCAACGTGAAACTTTTGTATTCTAAATCACCGCCATTGATTAAACTTTATTGTTTCACAATCGTGAATAGTCGACCGCCATTTTGCGACGCGCAAATGATCGTGATGTAATTACTCTTAATTACAGCCTCATTAATGCGTAGAAAAAGCGTTCGGACCTTTTTATTAGATTTTAATTAATTGATAGTATGTACATGTGTGCCATTGCATTATTTTCAAACGCTCAAATTAATAATAATAGAACTAAGTAATCTTAGACAATCAGCAGACAATCGAATAAAATAAAACTTATAATGTAAACCCAATTTCACTTAATCTCTCATTTGAATATTTTTAGGATAAGTCAAATATTTCTTTTTTATTTAATTAATAATATTAAAAATGAATAACTTAACTTAGTATTAACAAAGACATATTACGGTGCATTTCATTTGTCCCATTACATGGTTTTATTTTACGGTTGAGTAATAAAATAACATAAAAAAAAACATTTACAACGCTATAAGTAAAAAGCTGTCGCTTTTAAAGATTTTTCTAACTCTTTTTATTACATTAATCGTTGTTTTTAAATATCTTTTCTTTTAAATACAAATAAAACTATTGTGCATAGAAAAGAAATACATAGAAAATTATACTTAGAGTCAATCACTCTAGAACCCTCTTCTCGCGATTCGCATTTTTACGCTTTCAATCTTCCAGTAGTAACATGAAGTGAAAGAAAAAGAAAAAGAAAATTTAGTAAGTCTCTTAATCCATAAATACAAAATTTCTCATAATTTGTTAATAAAACTTTAAACGACCGCGGGCAAAATTTGAATGTAATGTAATTTTTTCATTAATTAAACTTTCTCCCCAATAATTTTATCCAATTACACACATCTCATGTCGCTGACAGTTCGAGATGACTTTTCATCACGACCAATATTCCAATGGCAATTGAACTTAACGGTCCAAACGACAAATTAGACAACAGAAGTTATTTTCATTTTTTATTAACTCGCTTTCTTGTATGGAATGAATCAAATGTTGATTTTAAACTAACTTCCCGATGAGCTGGATACTTTGTACTACTACAGTATACTAGACTAGAAATTTGGACCATAGTTCAGAGGTGGATGACAATGCGAAATGAAGAAGAATAATAAGAACATTAAATAAAAAGATATTTATGAAACGAATGCCTTTGTGGCTTTGTCTAAGCAACAGAAAACGCTTAGACAAAGACAAATATATATAAAAAAAGTAAAGTAATGAATAGTAAACAATCTGACACCATTACCATACCGTGGTAGAGCCACGCATAAGCCTCGGCTGTTGCACGGATGGGCAGGCTCGTCCGGGTAAGTACCACGACCTAACAGAAGACCGGCGTATAGTGGAAGTATAATACTTTCGCGTTTCGTCTGGTGAAGGTGGCCTGAGCCCACTTTGGTACCTTGGGTGTAGCAGATGTCCATGGGCGACGGTATTCACTTAACATCAGATGAGACGTCTACTCGTTTGGCAACTTTTGACATAAAAAAAATAGTAGAAATATTTTACAGTGGTGGTAACGGCCACTTTCACAGAATAAATTTTCTCTGAATAATGGTTTGAAGGTTCATTAAACACCTTGATTGAAATTGGCGGACTTCATACACGTTTACCTTAACAATATTCTATTTGCATCGCTTTCGACACGTACAGCATTTTTAGCGTCGAACTATTTGTAAAGCTTGCGTAGGTACATGGTTCTAATAATATTCTTTGATCAAATTTTAAGGATCGCATCATAAAAATTATCTGTATAAAAAGATATCCTGTATTATCAGAGTTGACGGGGTTTCCAAAATGTAACAACCCATTTGATAAAAAAATAAAAACGATAATGTATGCTAGATTGATTTAATTAGTACCGGTAGACGGTACAGGCATATTACATAACGGTTTCCTTTAAAAACTAATATTTTACAATGAGTAATATGTTAGCTCGTAGAACCGATAACCGTTGGGGAAGAAAGGTTCTCGAGTGCCAGTCTCGTACTGGCCATCGCAGTGTAGAACAACCCCCCACTAGATGGAGTGACGACCTGTGCAAATGTGCCGGAAGTCGATGGATACAGGTGGCTCAGGATCGTACTTCGTGGCAATCTATGTGGAGGCCTATGTTGATCAGTGGACTCAATCATTCTGAAATGATGATGATGATGAATATTTTAGTTATTAACTAGAACTTATTGTATCTTTTACGTGTATGAATGAAATACTTGATGTGATGTATGTTTAAACAATTATTGTATACTACTCTATATTACTCTCTGCATTATGAGTAATATGTATTCTTATTTTACGATAAGAATAATTAATTGAATAACCTTGTTCTAAAAAACCGTATATAATCCAAAAAGTGCTACTCAAAAAGCAAATATATAATATCTGGTTAAGTATTCCCAAGACTTCCTGCTCTTCAGATCTTCTGAAGTTTACAACATGAGGCGCGTATTTATTATTAGACAGGAATTACAAAGGACGAACTGAACTCCACTTGGTATTCTCTACCAGTCAACCCGAGGCGTGAAGGAAAGTTGTTGCGATAATTCGTAAGTCGTCCGACCTTGACATTTAAATCTATTATCGGTGTTATTCCGTTTAATTCTGATATTTATATACATGTATTAATACATGTAGCAAAAACCTTGAATCTCTTATTAAGAATATTGCACATAAAACTAACACGTAAACGTAATATTTGCACAGACAAAAATTAAATTACAATATGAATCTTTTTATAAATTGTTAATACCATTCAATTCATATATTTTTTATTGTAACATATTTTTTTAGTAACATACTTTATACAGCGTGTCGTTACCAACGCGACAATAAATGAACACACATATAGAGGATAAATTTTTAAAATTGTATCAAAAATTTACATTCTTTAAACATCAATATTTACAGAGTTATTAAATTTTGCAAAACTAACATTTTTAGAACACCCTTACGAATAAAACTAGAACGTAAAGTTCATTTGTAAAGGTCACGAAGCATATGAATGGGTTGAATGAATTTAAAAGAGACAAAACATACTGTTAGAACGAGAGGCTTGTAATGCGACGCTGTGGCAACGAATGAAAGAGTCTCTGAATTCATACATTCAGAGACTCTTCAGTCAGTTGTAGTTGTATAGGATGTTACAAATTTTGTTTCTTTTTTACTTAATTAGTTTGTTTGAAAAAAACATTTTTTTTTAATTATGATTTTTTAACGTCTATATTTTTTTATGATTATTGGCAAGTAGCGTTAGACGTGTGTTCATTTATTGTCGCGATGGTAAAGACCCGCTGTATACTGTTTTTTTTTTTTTTTCTATTTTTACTGTATTTTAGTTTAATGTTTGTATTATTATAATGTTCGTATTTCACATTTAGTTTTATAATTTTTTTTGTCTCTACTGTCTGTTAAAAAGTAGTTTGTACCTATAATTAAGGTACCATCACTTTTTTGCAAACCTTGTTTATTTATTCTGCTACGGTGTGTACTTTGTTGGTGATAAATAAATAAATAAAAATGATGCGATGATATATTCATCATACTGTCAATATCAAACCCATATTAGTTTGTCAAACAGTTGTACAGAGTAAAGATTGTCGAAATTGAATTTTAAAATGTCAGATTAACTGAATTAGTCAGATAAAACGAATTATGGTCTAATTTCAACCAATAGGCGAATCTATTATACATAAATGATAGAGAAATTTATTCCTTGTGGCGGTTTGCCTGTGTAGCGTCTCTGTTCAAGTTGACACCCCTGAGCAGTAAGCCACGGCAGGGCTGGCTGCGTTCGCCACCGGCAGGCTCATCGTGGGCATCTGCGTACTGGATGAGCAGCATCCGTCTCGGCCTCTTGGAGAAGTTGGGGGTGCTGCCGTGAACTAGGAGATACGAGAAGATGACGACGTCACCTCGCTTAGCGATCACCGGTGTGGCTTTTTCGATGGGGAACTTGTTCTGGAAAAGCAAACATAAATTTTGATGTAACTTTAGTGCCAAGCCAAAAGGAAGTAAATTCAATGATTTGACTTCATTACATTTAATCAATAAACAGAAGATATCACAAAGTTACTTAAAACGTTAAGCTACTAAAAACGAACAAGAAAACAAAAACCAAATGTATATCAAAGTCGCAAATGAACGATCAACACACTGCACAATAAATACAAGTAAATTTAGCCCTGTCACTTTGGCATCTTAAGCAAATGTTCCTTAAGTTTTACTTTGAAAGTGTTAATTGCTGTTGTGCAGTTTTTTTAGCACCGCTTAAGTCATATTATTCCAATATTTCGTTGCAGAGTGGAGTGTGGTGTAATTGTTAAGCCTATGACGTTTCGCATCTTTGTTGTAAGTACGATGACGGGCTTTGTGAGCGTGTCACGATTTAGGATTTTCCGCGTTAGTTGAAATTTGGGCACCTCTTGTTATCCCAGCTTACTCCGTTAGTGAAAACAAGCGCCAAAAGTGAAATAGCACTTTATGAAATTAACCGATTCAAAGTAAGCTTACTGGCGGTTCCGTTTGTGCCTACGTGCTTTATGACAGCCTGTGCGGGAGGACGATGTTCAGCAGAAGACTCAAATAGGCTGAAATGATAATGATGATGAAATGTGGTGCTCGCGACGCATGCTACGTGAACAGACCAACGCAAAAGAGTCTCTTTATTAAAACAAATCGATAATGCTCCGCACTTACCTACAACCTGTACAAAGCGCATTCTGTCGTCTTTGGTCTCATCTTGAGATCCTTGTAAGGGCAAGACTCCAACAGGCAACGGAACATAGCTATTGGAGACAGCTTACCGATAAACTTTGAAGGGGTTACGATGTTCAGTAATAAGAAAACGATTAAGAACAACAAGAAGTAAAAGGTATTATTTATAGCTTGACAAGTTATTTTTGCCTTATTTTTATATTTTGCATCTAAACCAACATGATTAAGCATTCTATAAATGTGATAAAATATTTTTATTAGTACTGTATATTATATTATTATTTATCATACTAAGTCATCGAAAAACCCTGAATAAAACATAATGAAACAAAAAATATTTTTACAATATAAATATAAATGTAAATCTTTCTATATTCCCGTTCTTTAAATATATTTAATAATCACCGTAAAAAAAATAACAGCTCATTTCTAATAACAAATTGCAATCATCTTACCAGATAAAACGGTCAGAGGTCGTTTTAAAAATCTGCCATAAGTTATTAATCGTTTCATAAAGGAAAATTTATCATTAACCGGCATGCTAAGAATACTTGTTATGAAAGTAATAAGTAACTAAAAGCCTCTATATTATGGTCTACTGCTGGCCATTTACTAAGTCCTCTGTACTGTGGTTATTAAGCCCCGCGACGCCAATGCGGATTGCGTACACATATTTTCGATTCCTTTGTTATTAATTCGCAAATGTGGTTTCCTCATTTTGTTTTCCGTCAGCGCTGACCACTTAAAATTATACTAAATTTAAGTTTCAATATAATATACGAGCCCGGATAGCTATCCGGGTGCTCACTTTGAATACCATATACTGGAGCAAATTGAGTTCGATCCCCGGTGCCAGCACCAATGAAATTGTTAATTTTAAGTGCTGACGTATTACGTGCTCAGCAGTAAGGAAAACATCGTAAGGAAACCTGCATTTTTTCGAAATAATAACCTTATATTTCGAAGATATGGTGTAGTCCGCCAATCCGCAGTGAGGCCGCTTGGTGGACTATACCCCCCTCTGTAGGAGGCCTTTGGCCAGCAGTGTTACATTTATAGGCTGTAACTTTTTTTTAAATAAATTTTAATAAATTTTCATTGTATTAAATAAAATAAAAGATTAGAAAATTTTTTTAAATCGAGATTTCTGCACACATTCAAAATAAAAAGACTAAAAACTCATTCTAAATAAGACTAAATGTGACTCACCCAAACTCGACAACGCAGACTAACATCTCAGTCATTAAATCTCTAAGTTTATATATAATGCAAATTGATTATTTATTCTACTACACCGTAGTGAATGTTTTGCCTACTATTAAAACAAGTAAGAGTTCTAAATAGGAAACCACACCACAAATAAACAAAAACAATATATTAAATAGCTTTATTTAAAAAAAACCGCATACGAAATAGATGCGTTGATAAAGGACTCCCAATAAATAGTATTTCACAAAAGAAGGAAATTGACAAGTCAATATTTTAATAACGAAATATATCAATAAAATCAAAACAATATTAATTAATATGAGACCACGTGGGAAGGAGCAGCTTTCATATAAAAAAAGAATCATCAAAATCTGTTCCCTCGGTCGAAAGTTCTGAGGTAAAAAACATAAAAAAAAACAGGCGACTTGAGAACCTCCTACTTTTTAAAGTTGGTTGAAAATCAATAGTTTTGTGTTAAAATGATATTGGAAATTCACAAAAAGAATTTACCTGATCTACATAGTGGAACTGCTTAGTCTCCCGTGCGCCGACGTCGTCCAGGGGTCCCAATTTGTGTGAGCCAGGATAAACGAATAGCCCGCCGTTTTCTGGACCGGAATCGTCGAAGTTGATGAAAGCGGCGACCATGGAGTCGTTTTTGTAAGGGAAGTATTGATAATCCTGAAATTAAAATAAAACGAAGGAATTTTAGATTAATTAAAAACCTAGAAAGAAAATGAAAGAACTTTGAAAAATGAGGGTGCGAAAAATAGGATGCACAGCCTTCATTAGTTAACTAATAAATGTGTGACAATTTTCACTATTTGATGTTTAATTAAAAAAAAATTTTATATAAGAAGGTGGCAAATGAGCCGACGGTTCACCTAATGTTAAGTGATAACCGCAGCCCAAGGACATTTGCAACACCCGTTGAGTTGCTGTTGCGTTGCCACCTTGAACAAAGTGGGTCCCGGGCTACCTCACTCAACAGACGAAACGTAGAAGTATGCCACCTCCACTTCACGCCGGTCTTTTGTGAGGTCGTGGTACTTACCCGGAGGGAGCTGCCCATTCGTGCAACAGCGAACACTGTTGCTAATAAGCGGCAGAACTAAGCGATTTTCTTCTGATTTCCCAATGGAGATACAAACCTGGTGCATTGGGTAGGAAGCTCCCTTCTCCGGTGGCTTATAGTGCGCCTTCGTGTGGTGAAGAATGATATTTTCGGTTTCCATTATGTCTTCGAGTGCGTCCAATATCTCGTCGTGGAATAACAGCTTGGCTAACACAGCGTGATGCATTTGTACATTATGAATTCCTTTAACCTTTAATGCATCGTATAATAACGTTTAACTTTAACTATAGTACCACGGTATTTGGTTTGCCGTATTCATTTTAAAGTTTTTTATAGTTATTAAATATTAAATGAAACTACTTTACGGATTTTATCGCGTTTTTTTATAGTGCTAATAAATAAAATTTAAAATTTATAAAAAGCAATGGCGACATCTCTCGTTCGAATTATCGTTGTAAAATGATATTCGAAATTGTTTGTATGCTGGAAAGGACATAACAATGGATGCGCCAAGCATTGCTTCAAATGCTAAATAACAATGTAGAAAGAAGGCGTTAAGATTTTCGTCGCTGTGGCTATCAGCCGTTTAGCTCAGTGGCTAGAGCGTCAGGCCGCGAATGCCGAAGACGTGGGTTCGATTCCCACAGCGGCGACAGTCTATTCGTACTTTTTCTACATGTTTTAATTGTCGTATTAAATTAATTGAACTTAAGCAGATAGACGGGACGTAAGGCATTAGCCGGGAAATCGTCGATCCTGAATTCGAGTCCCAATGACATCACGTTTCGCTTTCTCTGTCCGTCCCGCTTTGTAAAAGTGTTATTATTTGGTGTCTAAAAAATCGAATGTCAAACGATTCTATTAGTAATTATGAATAGGTTTGCTTATTATAAATTGAACCCGTGAAGTTATTTGAAAAAAAAAATTTAAAATATCTCAAAAAATGTGTAATTGTAATATCACAGAAGAAGAGAAAATTAATAAGACGTAACGTATATTAAGCAAAATCAAGCATCGATACCTAGTTTTCTAAAGATCGTATTTTATATGCATCCCATTTCTTGGATACCAATTAAGTAATTTTAAATTCGGCACTTCAAAAATCCACTACACTGTTTAATTTACTCTTTCGCTAAAGTACTTTAATTATTGTCGTCTTAAATTAGTATCGTTGACTGCTAATTATCAGTTACGCTCAAAGTCGGAATTTCATGCTTTAAGTGTAAACTAAAACAAAATAGCATTATGGAGAAAAGGTATCCGAAATATTTTGAATTAAATTATAATTACAACAATAGATCCTTACGTCGACCAGAAAAACTATATGTTCCTAAATGTAACCTTTATGTCCATAACTTTGTACAATAAATTACCGTTAGAAATTAAACAATTGCCCCTTGCATCGTTTAAGACGAAAATAACGAGATGGCTCCTAGATAAAATGATTTATAATATAAATCACTATCTGTTACGTAATACTGACATTTAATAATTTGACAAAGGTATATAATATCCGTATAATAATTTTAATGTTCTAATGGAATAATTTATTATGTTTAAATGTTTTAATGTGGATAATTGATTATATTTCGAATATTTTAATGTAAATAATTTTATATGAAATTGACAATTGCATGCTGAAGTCAGCTGAATATGTCGCACCAAATTATTATAATTAAGATCACAATGTACTACCATATTCTGGCAATAAAGACATTCATTCATTTATTCATTCATTCATTCATTTATGACAAAATACATGTAACACTCACAGTGTACGGACTGCCGACTTCTCTATGGTTTTCGTCGCTACCCACCCACGAGCTCTCTGTTTTTGATTCATTTTTCCGTCTGAACAAATTGTCATACTCTTCACTTAACCTGTTGAGTTCTTCTTCTTTAAATGGATTCTTGATGAGTATATATCCATTTTCCTTGTAGAATCTCTTTTGTTCCGGCGTCAGCCTGCCCATCTTGGCACTGCTTTTATAATACTTCATTTATTAACATATCGTCATACCTATATCTTTGCATTAAACATAGTTAATATAATGATCTGAAGCTCAAAAAGCCACTGGAATTGTTAACATGTACTGTTCGACAAAAATTAGACCACTTAAGCGGTGGACCTAGCAAGTTCTTTATACCAGATACTGAGGTCTACGGTCCGTCTCTATTAGACGTATAAAAATCGAGGTCCTGAATGAACATGATAAAGTAAATTTTCCTTTATTTGTGCAGTTAGACCTTGCTTTTTGCCAAATTTTGTGATTCTAGATCAACGGGAACACCTAATAGGGACTATAGACCTCAGTATCTGGTATAAATTTAAACTTGCTAAGTCCACACGTTCCTGAGAAAATCGGTTGTGATACACGGACTAAAAAGTGATCTTTTAAAGGTACATCTTTTAACTTTTATACGCTTGCTACGGAACCCTAAAAAAGGCACATCTTTTACCTTTTATGCTACGGAACCCTAAAAATTATGCAACACTCAAAACTTCACATGTAACTCTAACAAAATTAAAATTGAGAAAATAATTACTACCCATACACCACTTATAATTAGATCACTAAAAATTTAAACGAATTAATTTAGTTACTGTATGTTTGACAAAGCTGAAATTATATGTACACATTGACCGTCTGTTGTGTGCACTAAATTTATATGATCAATGTACAAAAAATAAGACAGCTGGAATAATTTATAATATTAATCTGGTTAACGGAGTGGCGAGGCAAAATAAAAAAAAAAAAACATAATGCTACTCACCGAAGATTAACTGTCAATGCTAGCGGACACAAACGGTCATACATTTATAAACTGTGGTAAGTTATCTAATCGTTAATAACAAGTAACATCAATAAAACTTGTTATTCCTCATTATCTAGTATATTACATAACTTATTTTAATAGTGTGTCATCTGTAATAAACATTAAGCGATAGCAATGTTTTTAAGTAATGTTATATCATTGATTTCCTTTAGTAAAGCATAAACGAATGAAACAAAAAATATTCTTATACTTAATCCATAATGTTCATTATATTTATGACAGTTTATTGTTTTCAAGTAACCATTTTACTGTAATCAACCGTCGGCGGTCGGGCGGGAAGTTAAAGCGCCGGTTCTCTGACACTCTCAACGTTCGTTTCTCCCTGCGACCGCAGTAGTGATGACCACCTTTCATCACTGCCACCACATCGGGGGAGTGGCAGGGATATGTGGCAATACGGGTCGGAATTGGATGGTTGCCCACAAAAAAGCAACGTTGCACCTGTCTCTGTCACATCGGGAATACGGAAACACGAGGACGCGGTCTTCCGATCTCGGCGCCACCTTCTCAGTCTTCCTCTTCTCGAGCCCTACGATACCCGGTTCGACAATATGGTGCTGTGCTGATTGAGCGGTAGACACCTATATGATTACCGCTTGGGGGCTTACTATGAGGGGGAATGGTTGCGTGCTTAGGTCTAGCACCCTGCGCTCAGTTCTCCGACGATGGATATCCAGGGTGGCAATTGTGTCATACATGAGGAATTCCATGTTTATTTTATTGGATAATTATGAACAAAAATGATTTAAAATAACGCTCCATAGTATAAAACAAAGTTGTCCCGCTGTCTGTCTGTCCCTATGTAAGCTTAGATATTTAAAACTACGCAACGGATCTTGATGCGTTTTTTTTTAATATGTAGACTAATTCAAGAGGAAGGTTTATATGTATAATACATTGCACCCGTGCGAAGCCGGGGCGGGTCGCTAGTAAGCGATAATATAATCCGATCACATCGCTTACCCTTCACGAACTTCGCAAGTTGACAAGATATAGTCGATTTTCAAATGTACCTTTTTACAACTAATTTTATTTGCAAATGAATAAATATATATTTTTTTTAATCTTCAGCATCTATCCCCGTTCATTCACTTCTTGCTACTTATTGCTTCGTGATTAGATTTCAGACAGTAGATCAATTTCAGGGCTTCTACTAAGGGTCATTGGAGAATGTGGCAGGTGTCTACTCAAGCTCCAGTGGATATTTCGCTGCTCCAACACGTATACCTTTACGGCTGTTGCACAATATCCTCTCCTTCAATCAATTCATACATTTATTGAAGTATAATATATTTTAATACCTCTATACTTTGTAAAACTAATAGCGTTTAATTTCAGTTTATAATAAGTAACATAATAAATTGTATGCTCGCAATTATAGTCGGCCCAAATAACATTGTTCATTTTAAGTGGTGAGTTATCACGTGCTCAGAACATCGCGAGGAAATCTACTTATATACAATAACAGTATACCTATAAAAAAAACCATATCGAAAGAACAATAACACTATTAAATAGTGTATTGGGGACCATATGAAAGGATAGAATACACACACATAAAAAGTTCTTGCAGCGGTCTGCCTGTGGATTGTACAGAAAATGCTTTGAAATGTACGTATAACTTTAACAAAATACACATGCTTGTTTGTATTCAAATATATACAACACTAAATATGAACAGAATGTAATGATTTAAAGCGTAAAAATCTTTACAGTGTCAGATGTTCCGTGTCTGACCAACCATGTGCTTAGTTGGAAGTTGGCTACTTTTTGTTTGTGTTCATTTTGTTTGCCTGACTTTTCCTCTTTCCTCTGTTTAGTAAATTAAAAAATAAAAGAACAATTTTATTATTTGTTACAGTTCAATAAAAGTAACATTTAGATTTTACGGAAGTTTATAGAAATTTTGTAAAATCGAAAAAACACCAAACTATATCTAGGCATTAATGCTTCGTAGAATGTCGTGGCGGTCATTTGCAAGTTATGCGTTTCAAATATAATAGTCTTCCAATGATGGACGTAGCAAATGGAGAGCGTCAATTTCTTACTCCATCACGAGTACCGGAGCGCGAAGATAACCACTAAATGAATGACCAACGATTACTCCTTCCACCACTATGACATCTATGGACACGTCGCTATGCCCCGGCATCGCAATTTATAGCAATGACATGACAATTAATCAATGACGTAAGACGGCTGAACTCGCGATAAACCAGTGTATGTATCACCTAGTTTCTGACCCATCCCTATGTGTCCTTCATCAGAGTGAGGGTTTCATCATCACCGGTGCAACCCGCGCCCCCCAAGACGGGGCGCGACCACGAACTACGGTGGTAGGGCCACGCAGCAGCCTCGGCTGTTGCCCGAATGGGCAGGCTCATCCGGGTAAGTACCACGACCTCACAGAAGACCGGCGTAAAGTGAAAGTATAATACTTTCGCGTTTCGTCTGGTGAGTGAGGTGGCTGGAGCCCAATTTTTCCAAGGATTTCAATGCATCTGCAACCCTAGTGTGTAGCAAATGTCTATGTTCGGTGGTATTCTGTTAAGTGAATACCGCCGCCCATAGACAGGTGAACCGTCTGCTCGCGTGGCAACCTTTCCCATAAAAAAAAACTAATCTCAATCACCCTGATGAAGGACCTCCCATGGTTCCGAAACCATTTGGTACACCGGTTTAACGTAAGTTCATCCGTCTTATTATAGCGTTAATAATGTCTCACGAAAGTTTTAATAGTTTTAATCATGTAAGAATTATAAAAATGGGGCGTGTAAAAATAAGAAGTTAATTAATCACGAGGGAAACATGAACACTTATTGTGCGTATGGCCCTTCATTTCCATTAACAACTGGGAACAAAAGAAACGCCCCTTCGTTTTGTCATTCATTTATCTTTTTTCTATTCAAACAACGGGCGCCGCCCTTTGTTTGTTTTCATTTGCATTGAACCTTGGGAGAGACATGTGAATTTAAATGACCGGAACGAGTCAGCCGCCTAAGAATTAATTTTTAAATATTCAAGTACCCTTCTAGTTGCTACCATTACCTGTGTTAGGGAAACACAAGCTTCGGCTGTCGCACAAATGGGCAAGACCGGTGTTAAGTGTAAGTGTCATACTTCTGCGTTTCGTCTGGTGAGTGAGGGAGCCAGAACCCACTTTATTAAAAGGTAGTAGATACGTTATCTACAACTCTATGGATATTGCAAACGTCTATTGGCGGCGGTTATTACTTAACATCAGGTGAACCGCCAGCTCTCTTGCCACATAAAAAAGTAGCTACTGTGTAAGAGATAAGACGGGCCTGACTTACAAGTGGTCAGTTGCTGAGAGTGTACAGTTTCATATCTAATCAACAAATTCAACATTGAATCATTACACTTACTTATCGACTGTCAAAAACACTACTACCGGTTCGATATAAAAATCCACTGTCCGGAAAAGAACCGGCGAAAGAAACTCAGTGTGACAATTTCTAAAACGGTTAACAGTTTTTAACCTCCAAAGAAGGAGGTTATTAAAATTAGGTGTTATAAATAATTCTTACATTTTATAACTTTTTGAATATGCTTATTTATCAAAATATGGGCATATAAAATTATTATATATCTGACTAACTTATCAGATAAATTTAAAAGGCTATGCCAAATGCCTTCCACTTATACAAGGAAATCATTGCAGTTCCCCTATTAATTGATTTCCGTCACTTATAGACTATTTGATTCAAACGTTCAGAAACTTTAATATATAGCACAACCCGACTGTTTCAAGATCATGATGTTCACAGTTGGTCGATGCACACTATTGCTATTTCGATATATTCGGTCTTAGTAATAGGGTGCTATTTACCCAAAGGGTAAACAGGACCCTATTACTAAGACTCCACTGTCTGCCTGTCCGTCTGTCACCAAGTTGTCTGCCTGTCCCATGAACCGTGATATTAAGACAGTTGAAATTTTCACTGATAATGTATTTCCGCTATAGCAATAAATACTATAAAACATAATGACTAACACAAATACTAAAAGTGGGAGTTTTTTGCCGCTTTTATAGATAAAGGTTAAAGGTACGGAACGTTTCATGCGTGATTCAGACTCGCACTTGGCCGTCTCTTGTGTATAGTGCGTAGTAAGTACCGAATAACCTAGCTAAGCTAACACCTGTTCAATAAACGATTTCTCAGCATTATTACTTATTGATCACGTATAAAAGGTATTTTAATACTAAAAATAAACTTTGTTCTCAACCCACAAAGTTTCCCCTGAAAATATATTTATACGTTACAGCGGAGCACGTAAAGGGATATTGCAATATTACTCCTGAATCCTCATTTCTTATCCTTTGACGCCTAATGAATTTCACGTCGTCAATATTTGTTTAACGTGAAAGCTTTCACATCTAGACAAGTTCCCTTATAACAGGTTTTCTATTAATTCTTAAACAACAAGCAAGCTTAAAGAATTTCTATGGCTTTTGTTTATTCAGAAATACGAATTATTTCCTCTTAGCAAAGAAAGTTTAATTTTAAATTTCTTATAATTGTCTTATGAAAAGGGCTTATGTCTTTAAACGCTATAATAATAAAACATTAATACTGCCTCCAATTTTTCAACGAACGAATGGAAGAGGTTAATTTCTTGAACAAAGTCTATGTTCTAAATATCAGATAATAAATATCAAATGTATATAAATAATAAAATAATATCATTTAATTATTAAATGTAGTCTCATAATTCACATAGCACATCTAAGCAGACGTGCTAACGTGGTTGAAGTTGAACCAACTACAGTGGTTGAAGGCATAATGATAAGTAAGGATAAACACCTAAATCCGGAATAGGAATTGTCCCTGATTAGAACCGAACTCACGTACCACGGTGCCGAAGACAACTGCTTCCACCATTAAACTATACAACTATCGTATTAAATATGGATGTTATAGGTTTTAAGTACATTTAAATCTAAAAATTCAATGAATTA